AATTTTTGTTTACACCTCTTATGCAAATTATTGGGCATAAAACTGTTTGCTTGAACACGTGGGTTCATTGCTTTAGTTAGCTACGGTGACTGCAGAGCATCTGATTAGGCACTAAAAAATTCTCGGTCGATATGAGATTTTGGGAAACTTGTGAGAAAATTTTAGATTAAGAAAGAATCAGTTGTACCATTTTTTCGGTGTACAACTTACAAGAAGCGCCTAATAAATGCATGAGGAGTACAGATTAACATAATCAACAGACATTTGAAACTGTTAGGATATGTAAATACTGATCGGTAACAATACAGTAGCTGCAGTTTATTCTCTACCTCCTTAATGATTTGAGTAGTAAGCTCGGAATCCTTTCGTTCTTTGTTCCTGCGGCAGTGTCTAAAAGTTGACTACGGATACACATGAGTTTGGTGAATTCGATGTTCTCTCATCAGTGATATGCCTCTAATGATGGAAAAGGCCTGCATTCAAAAACTGTTTACGCAAATGAGGCTAGGGACCAGCCACAAGAGAACAGCCGAAATCGTTCTGATTCTTTTCAGTTGGTCAGAAGAGAGCTGATCTCATGAAATCCAGATTAACACAAATTTGTGGCAAATGTGGCAACATCACAGAAACAATTCGGTGTATATAAAACAGTCTTCATTGAAGTCCCTTTAAGCTTTCAGTGGCTTGTAACCCCACCCAAAGTCCACCCCTCGATTTGTCATCAGCAAGCCCAGCAATCGACCGCTTGAGTTGTTCCGGTGATCACATTGTGATCATGGCGACTGTGTGATCCATCCGAAAGTAGGACATTTGTTAAAGACCTCCGTTATTCTGAAAGTCATATTCTTCTTCAGCTCTCTTTCTGCTAGTATTTGCTTTGAATGTAACAACAGGAAATAATCTTAATAACCACTCAGTAAATATGAACAGCGGTACCAAACTTTAAGATGTTTTCCTTGAGCAACAAACGTGTTTGAAGATAGATGCAGCTCCAAAACTAATATTTACATTTGCATAATTCATTGCACTGCTGCTGTTCATTGATCTTACATTGAAGCCGTGACCAGTCAGTATGTTTGTAATTCTTCAGTGCAACAAGCTTTGAAAATTTGATTTTTATTTTGAAGTGTCTTCATGATGTGCGAGGTCCGCAGTTTTCAGATAACGTTCTTTTAAATGGTGATTCATTTCCGAAGGATTATTGTTTTTATTGATTGAATTTAAATGTTTTGTTTTGTGTATGCTTTTTCTTTGGGGCGGGTGGCGATCTGCCATTATTAACTTGTGACAACGTTGCTTATCTTAGTGTTTTCATATTTTTCTTTTCTTTTAGTTTTATTTTTTCTGTTATAAGTTTTAAGTTAATTTACAAGCAGGTTTGTTTGTAATACTAACCAGCAAAAGTTAGAGTTGAAATGTCAAGTTTTAGAACTAGATAGCAGTCTGCCACGTCAACTCCTGTTCTGTTGTTCAACAGGAAGAATGCTTCTAAAATCAACGTCGAAGGCTGCTTTCCATATAGTTCATGAGATGAAAGCTTATGTAATATATGTAACATGCAGTTTAACTAAGTTGTTGCTTCCGTTTCCTAATTTTCGAAAATAGCAGTAGGGCAGTTTTAATAACCACTTAACCTTTCGAGTCGCGGCAGCAGACTTCTCTGATTGTGTCTCCAGCGTTCTCGATCCCGTGTTAGTGTCTGGCCAACAGAATATGATCCGACTGAAGAACAGAGTCCTTCGATACACTTGCCAAAAAATGTTCTTAGCCGTCCCCATGGCCTTCGGTCGGTCGACCGAGTAGGTCGTAGCTGTTTCGAAAACGTCCATGTTTAATTTAATTGGCATTGGATTGTGCTATATTTACTTTTAAACGTGGAACTTTGTCGTCGTTGTAGACTGGCCATGGTCTGAAACATTTCATATAGTACTGATTTGAAAGAACAATTAATCCGTCAGGGTACGAAGACCATCTCAGTCAAGTGTTTCTGAGACATGGTGTTTGGTACCGAAAATTTAAGCGTGATTTTGCGCACTTCCTGTCTATGTAGCCCAGTCGGTAGAATATCGAACATGCATTGGAAAGATTTTCTCTCCAATTATTGATCATTTAGAAGTACAATCTCTATTTGAGTACAATTTTATATTAAAGAAGCGATAATTGCGTGCTATGCTTGCAATATAGTTGTACGTAATAATTGTACAAATGAGGCATTCCTGAACAGTGACATTGAATCGTTGTCATTTACCGTTCCATAGGCCACATTTACGGTAGAATATCGGAATCCACACCGTCCATGAAAATCAGATACATCCCAAGGATTGCCAATTTTTTGTGTGTGCACCTATATCTGTAGATCTTATACCGAAACCATTTCTTGTATCCTGATTTTATTTCTTTACTTTGAGTATCTGCCATTTGTCCTGCCTCGAAGATTGACGAGTTTGACGACCTGTTCATGAATGTCCTGAATATCCTCATTATCGTTCTTTTCCTAGCTATTCTTTCTCTGTTTCGCAGTAGTGCAACCTCACAGGAAAGGAAAGGAACGTTTGTAGCCGTTTTAATACTCATTGATATCGTTCATCGCATTTCTCTGATAAGTGCTATTTATTGCACCTTTCATTGAGCCTATATAGTCGTAATCATCCGTTAGGAGTACCTTGTCTTTAATGCAACGTGCAGTTGCAAAGCTTCTACAACGTATGGTTTTGTGCTTCATTTCTGCGTAGTGGTACTCATTTATCTGCTTCGAATCGATAACGGTAAAATCTAACTTACACTCAAACCCGATATTGCTCGAGGCAGGAACTCTACCTAGCCAGCTACATGTTAGAATTGTTGTGACTTCTCAAACGTTCTTAGCCCCTCTAACGTTGCAGTCTGCTTTAGCAAGTGATGACCTTTGGATGGAGACGTGGTTTACATGGATACCTCTAGATGGTGGTTAGGGTAATCTTCTCCGTTGCATTGTAGTAGTTGACGAATATTCTTCCCTTCTTTCTCTGCAGTGAAATGTTTTGCTCCGTAGATAAATGTGCGGTTTTGCTAATTAGCGTAAAATATTTTTTGTACTTTAACAGTGGCACGTTACTTGTACCGTTTGCTTTGGATTTTGTTTGGTATCTCAGCGAATTTTATAGATTACGAATGGTCACAATTTGAACGAACTGTGATGAATTCACTTCCCGTTTATTTATGTAATAAAGTACTGCTGGAAAAGAATGAGGTTTTCGGTTCTGTGATGATCACATTTTTTAAAATCAGGGTTTAAACTAACCCATTACTTTTTTAAGTTTGATATTCACCATCACTTACTGCTACTTATTTCAGAAATGCTCGACTAGAGAGAGAATTAAGGGAAAGCGAGACTCGACGCCTCTTCATAGAAAGCCAAGTTCAAGATCTGCAGGGCAGGCTTAATACCGCTGATTCTCAAAAAAAGCACTGGGAAGGAGAAGCTCGAGTGAGTAATCTTATTGAGCAATACTATGAGTCACGTCTCAACAAGAATTTGCCTATGCTTTTGTATATATTGACGAACGGTGATTCTCTTACGTTAGATAATTTACTTTCATCTCAGATTCATTCGTGCATATTCACTTGTTTTAGAAGCTAAAAGGGGACAATGACAATCTGCGAAAGCAATTGGAAAGTGCCCAAAAACAGCTGGAAGAAGAAACTTTGCTTCGAGTTGATGCAGAGAACAGAATGCAGTCGTTGCGTGAAGAACTCGCGTTTAACAAACAGCTGTACGAACAAGTAATGACCCGATTTGATTTGTTAGTCTTAATTTTAGTATGATTTTATGTTCATAATATTACTTTGAAAAATGTGGCACCTAAAGTGCATACCCATCTTATATGCAGGAAGTTTTCCGGTCTGTTATTGTTGAGGTGTTAAAATGTTCTTTACTGATGCGATTTCCATAGATGAGATTATATTGCTGAATATCATTTTTAATATCGTATCTGCACCATTTGATGAATTCAAGCTCAATGATGCAGTTAGCTGTATCATAATTTTATATTATTCTATAGCTGTTATGTGTGGGTATGAATGTTATAGCTTATATGACGGAGTATAATGTATTACTTTTATGTATAGTAATAATTTAATTCGCATTATAGCGACACTTGGATTTGAAGTATTAGTTTTTGGAAACGGCTCTTCTACTTTTGTTGCGATAATCAGACTTCCAGAAGGGGCTCAGTTCAGTTTAAATTAGTCGTTACAGCAGGCGCCTGCTATCAATTCATTGTGTTTTTCCGTCTGTTCTGTCCAATTCAGAGTTATTAAAAGGTATTGCGATACAGTAGCTTCTGTCACGTAGTGATTTATTAGCGGTGCTTTGTTCATCCTATTTTGTTCCCATATACACTGTACGATGTTTCTTGATGAAATAATTCAAAAACGACAGCAAAATACCTCGATTTCATATTTCACGCTTCAGTCCCACTGTATGTATCTTTAAATACGAGTAAATTCTGAATTTGTGATTCTTAAAGATGCATATAAATTGTGGAGTAGAAGAGAGTCTCAGCTTTGTTGCCACAGATCTTTATTTCGTCATTGAAAATATAATAATCTTTGAGACCTTGTTAAACGCAGTGTAGGCAGTGATGTTTGAAGGTTGTTAAATTGTTTAAATATAATTATTCAGCTGGTACTGTACTGTGTACTGTGTAAGAGAAGATAACGCGGAATAAGACTGTGAAGAATTTGACAGAGGGCGTTTGTCATATTTTGTTATTTCGTTTTATGGTGTATACTTGAACAGTTAGATAGCATCGTTTAGGAACTTGAGGAAACGCGGAAGAAACGTCAGGTGGAGATTACAGAGCTGAATCAAGAATTGGAAGACGAATACAAGCAGAAGCTGCAAGACGCACTTAACGAAATGCGCGAGCAACTTGATTCACAAATACGCATTAATCGCAAAGAGATAGCGGACATGTACGAAAGCAAGGTCAGTAACTTCAGTGATATGGTGTTATAATTATAAAATTGATTTTCAGGCGATTGATTATAATAATTGATTTACAGTAATTAATAGGAAGCATAGTTCGGCGGCTGTTCCAGTTTCGATTGAATGATTTTCTTTTAATCAAGCTGAAACTTTCAAAATATCTGTAGTATGTCTTTCTAAACTATAGAATTATTTGTACTATACGAGTATATTTGCTTCGTTGACAAAACATTGATTATCGTTCCACAATATCCAGCTGCTTCTGATTCAGGCAGAAATCATTATCAGTATGTACAGAAACACTTTATGTATAATATCTAGATTAGTTAAGTAGGTAAGTCTTTGTAACTTGACTTAATCGGCTTCATTGCCGCTCAACGGTTTGCATCACGTAGTCAAAATATTGTTAGCTTTTTGGAATTAAAACTAAATTTAAGAAATAAGCAACTGGTGTCGTTGTTTTAAAGTAAAGTATCTAGTAAAGTAGATTTCATACTGACTATAAGTCACAAAATTCTCTTCATAAATCCGAAGAATATGCAAGTATGTATTTCTCGGTTAAAACTATTCTCGTTCTTTCTGGAAGTTTTAAACATTTATCGTTCTTTTCAAGATGCAAGATATGCGTGACATGGCTGACAGCAATAGAGACACAGCTGCTACTGCCAGGGACGAAGTAAAGAGGATCCGAAGCCAACTGACAGCCGTGGAAACTGATCGATCTCAATACGAAACGAAGGTATGATGCATAGTATGCGTGATTCTTGCGGTTCAGCTCTGCTTGTTGTTCAGATCAATAGCATGGACAAGAAGATAAAACAGTTGGAGTCACAACTGAGAGATCAACAAGAAGATTTTTACAACCGAATGGCCAGCAGGGAAGAAGAGATCAGCCGCCTACAGGCGGAGATTGCACAGATGATGCAGGAATATCAAGACCTCATGGATATGAAGATTCAATTGGACGTAGAAATAGAGGCATATCGTCGTCTGATTGAAGGCGAAGAGGCTAGGTGAGATTCACTTGATTTATACGTAACTATAATAACAGACAGGCTTTTCCTGCGCTCATTTGATTTGGCTCAGATTTATAGCATTTGTATGGTTGCACACCCTTTTCCTCAATGTAAGGAGCTTTTCCTCTGGTGTATTGCAAACAGTGAAGAGAAATTATATTTTTTGCTTGATTTATGGATACTTATATGTTAGGCGTTCAAAAACATTCAACCCTTTCCGCGTTTACACTTGATAAACTGAGCAACAGTCAGAATCTTCAGAAAAATATTCCAAGGAAGTGGGAGTGTTTCGCCAGTTCACTTTCGAATAATGAGGTACGTCCGATTACTTATATCTAAACAGAGATCAGTGCTATCCATGAGGAAAATGACAAGTGCTACACGTGGCATCCATCATTGATCTTTAGGGGAGAAGTTACGTTTGTAACTATCACCTATCAGTTTTGTTTTTATTGTTTTATCGCATTAACCAAAAACTAGTTTGAAACGAAACATTTTGCCATGCATTATGTAAAAATGAGTGGTCTGACTTTTCAATGTTTTATCGCTTAAGTACAGTTTGTTGAACTGCTGAAGATTGATGTTTATATTTCGAATGAAATTAGTAAACAGTATCGATCGAAATAACGAGATTTGACTTTCTTGTGCCAAAACGCCTCTTCTAGAATCTTCACTTAGCAGAATATATGTAATGTTGGACTGGTCTTACTTCTCTTTGAAAACTACGCATTTACTTGTTTCTTCCCCTTTCTCGTGTAATACTTTCGATAGGTTGTTTATGCACTCCAGTTTTTTTAATAACCAGCAAAATTTTATTTTTTTGACAGCGTAACGGCCTTAGCCCTTGTTTTGTCTTGCTAAAGTTATCTGAAGCCTCATCGTTGGTCATATAATGGTTTAGTCTGATTCGTTCTTTTTTGAGTGCTTGAAATTCCTACAATCGATTTGTTACAAACGTCGATGTGAAAATAAATTGTTTGCCATTACTAGCGGTCCTTTTTGTACTTTTTTGTCACATTACTTTATGGAATATTATGTGGCGTAATGTGATTCGACACTTTAGACTGAATCTTTCGCCTACTCCTCCACCAGGCGGCCAAAGCGCTCAGCGCTCTGAAAGACGTGGCATCAAAAGGCGTCGCATTTACCATGAACGCGAGACCGAGATGTTTCAGTCATACGTGGTATGCTTGACGTGCTTGTTATTTCCTCTTCGCACCACCATAATTCGTTCTTATCATTCTTCAGACTAATTCTGATTGCCAGGGAGACGTAGAAGTTTATGATCATGATATCGAAGGAATGTACGTGAAATTGTTAAACAAACTTGACAAGGTTTGATCTCATACGTTTTTGTTTGCTTCTAATGATTTCGCTTCTGACTTAGGATATCCCCATTGGTGGATGGGTGATCAAACGTACTGCCGGTGGAAACGAAGTTACTTACAAATTTCATTCCAAATTAGTGATGAAGCCGCAGAAGCAAGTGACGGTAACCAGATTTTGTTTGATTTTTTAAACGCATTGTAAACGACTTCGAAATATTGCAGGGTAATCTTCAGTTAGACTGACCAGAAATATTACCATGGTTTATCTTTTGGCATCAGCCGCCTGCTTTGTATAGCAGCGATATTAGCAATTGCGAAACTAAACTTTTAGCCTTTTACTCGTAATTTACTAGCAGTTATTTTTAGTGCAGTTTTCATTTATTAGAAAATGCAAGACACCGTTTCTCGTGGCTAAAAATTAGTACTCTAGGCTGTTACTCTCCATCGCTATCACCAATTCTGATGGTATTTTCAGTCGATAGCAAACATGGCTATAAAGTAAATTACCCACGACAGGCATGTTTCAGCTTATAATGAAACTTAATTATGTTGAGTGTAGCACTGTTTCTATGCAGTACATCGTTTCACCGAAAATCCGATACTGCTGTAGAATTTTATAGTGTACAGAAAGCAGTTTTATGGTGGATAAATGGCCTCTTATCTATGAGAAACTTCCTGAGTGATAATGATGTTCTTTTTGCCTTTTGGGAAGTGATAATTGTGTTGAACGGTGAAAAGGAGCTGCAGAAATGTGCTTTAGCTACCTCTCAGAGGTATGGTGGCAAGATTTATCCAAAACTTTCATAGGTGCCCGCATTTCAAACTCGTTGTTATCTCCTTCGCAATAATTCATATTTTTATCAGAATATCAGTCAAGAACAAAAATGGCATAAAGTACTTTTGGAAGACTAAAAATGCCCCTATCCGAGAAGTGTGCGGAAACGGAAAGTTTTCGATCAGTGTGTGTGTGTGCGCGCCCGCGAAACTGACCCTCTGCCTGAAAGCAGTTCATAAGCTTGAGACTACGCAACACAGGATTGAAATATTTTTTTAATAACAATAAAAGATATGAACGATAAGAGCGCAAAGAAGAGTTTGCAATGTCATTATGAAGAAGTTAAGGTAGCGATGGGCAGGACACGTTTCAAGAAGAACCAACCATTGGCCAGAGAGACATTAAATATTCAGGCGAGGGTAGACGGTGTATAGGAAGACTTCAGATCCATGAAAACTACAGGATAGTCTGAAGAATTTCGCTGGATCAAGATGAATGAAAACAACAGAAATCAAAAGTTTTCAAGGTCTTGGAGAGGCCTACATTTAGCAGTGGATAAAAAGCGATGATTCTGATCATCAGACCGTTCTCATTATCACCCATCTTGCTCTCTCTTCAAACTAATACTTATTTTTCACGTTCTCTACGTATGTCACAGGATTAAGATGATTTTAGTGCGGCGTGATCGACTGTAGCTGAACCGTTACTAAAACCTCATAACCTATTTTTGCCTCTGCATCTTGTCATCGTCATCTACCTTTTCGAACTGAATCATGGGGTAGTTTTTATGGCACTGGGGAGGAAGGTATTTTCCACTGTTAGCGATCGTTATCTTTGCAGGTGATATAAAATTTTCTATTCCGTGTATATTTTGTTAATGTTTTGATCCATTGCATCTGTGGATCTTCTTTCTTAAGTAGCATATTGGATGATGATTTTTCGGAGACCATTGGACCGCAGTACATCTCTGAAGCATTACTGCGTTATTGGGTGTATTTTTTTGGTGTAATGGATCGTATTCAGGTAAGAATTTTTCAGTCATGCAATCTTACAATTTCTTAATGCATTACCTCTGCACTTTTACTTGTCTTTACTTTTTTTATCTGTACAGATTTTTTAAAAGTTCTTTCCAGGTTTGGAGCTCGAATGCGAATGTTACTCACAACCCTCCAGGTGACTTACTGATGAAAAATCAACAGTGGCCCGTGGGCGATACGATTCGTACGGTGTTAATCAACGCTGATGATAAGGTTCGATTTTTACCAGCGTTATCCATAAGTACACGATTTAGCCGGAGTGTTTTAGGAAATAGCTTGGCGAGAATCGGTGAGAAATACTAGTTCCAAACGTATGAGTTTTCGTTCAGCGGATCCGGCAGACTATGGCATTGAAATTGCGGTTAGTACTATTTTATTGTTTGTTAGTATTTACTATCTGAATACTGTTTAAGAATGCTTCAGTTTGCTTATGCATATAACAAATATAGCTAACACAGAAGCAGTTGTTTCTATAATCACCTAAAGCTGCCTTGGGAAATTTTGAATAAAAGATTTATCAGAGTTCAATATGGTTAAAACTTTAACATGTATATTATGCAAGACATTATCGCACTGAAGGTCTTACATGTCATCTGAAGTAAGCATGTTTCCATGAGATATCTGTTACATGCAACCAGTTTACTGTACCTGTGAAAGGTCCCTTTTGAGAGACTGTTTTTCTACGCTTTATAAAAGTGGGTAAAGTGCTTTTATCATGTTTTTCATATCCTTTTCTCAGACGGGTGATGGTCTTCATCTGTGTAAGTCTCATGTACGCCTTGAAAGATATGACCATAGAAAAAGTTGTAAAAATGAACGTCCTTTGCCTTTCGAATCCTTCCAGGTGGCGTGCATAAATACAGCGAGTACTCCTGCTTTCAAGATGGCGTATTCATTTATGTTTTGATTTTTCGATAATTTGTTTGTGCAATTAGAAAATGAAAAAATTGCGCATGGTTATTATGCATATAGGTATCTTGCGCTGTTGAATGATTCATGAGTGTACGACAAAGGATTTTATTTGTCTTATAGATGGTTTGGAAATTTATGGTGCATGACCAAGGTTTTGGTTCATTTACCGAGACAACCCTCTAACTTTGTCTTTTTTGGCACCATAGCGCTTGTTTCTTCGACTTTGATACTGCTTTTGTTATTTTAGCTTGTTAGCAAAGGGACAGTTTTCTAATATAATCTCACCCATACCACATTGTCATCCTGTAGTAAACTCGATATTATCTATATTAAGTGTAAGTTTAAACGCATGCTTTGTGTATGGGACATTATTGTGTTTGTTAATATTTTCTTTCTTAATTCAGGATGGCGACCAGCGTTGCAGCGTTATGTGAAACGGAAGCCATGTACACTTGAAATGGGACGTCATAGGCATCTTTCAACTGTAGCTTCACCACTGAAGACTGTCAAACCTGATGGGTTTACTGATACAATAATAAAATTGTTTATTTTATAGTTTAGGCACATTTTTTGTACGGATGACCTGTGCATAAATTTTTAAGCAATATATGCTTTCTTCATACTGTGTACTGTGCATGCCGTATGTGTTTTATTCGTTGTATCTTGTACCGATTAAGTCAGCTACCAGTTTAAGACCGCAAATAGCAAATTATGTAATGATCATACCAAACAATCTCCTGTTTCGTTTGGTGACCAGTCATTAATCTGATGCTGATTTTTAGTTTGCTTGTGTCGAAGCACAATGTATAGATAAATTCCTTGTTCACTGAGAGTCTGCACAGTTTCCATAATTTTGTGCTACAGCTGGTTTCCAACTGAAACCTTTGCATTCAGTGCGGAATTTCCTGCGCATCACCACCGCAGCATGCATCTCCACACTAAATGAGTCCATCTCTGCAATGGCTTTCGGTTGTGGCCTGTTATTTTTTGTTGTCACCCATGTTTATGAATTGTTGATGAAGTAATAGCTGAACATTGATTGATCACACTAAACAATTAGTAGCTGTTCATGACCATATATGCATCGTTGATTTCTGAATCGTCCGAAAGAAATGTTTTGCAGCTGCATAATCGAGCATAGAAATTGGTTTGCAACACAAATTCACTTTGCGGACTGCGTTGCAGTTTTCGCGAACGTAGGTCATTTGATTTGTCCAGTTGTATATACGCACGTTAAGTCTGCATACCTTGCGGGAAAGTTGATATAGCAGTTTGCACCTGATCAATCAAAAGCGGGTCATGTTATGGAAGGGATGCGTTTGAATTATTTTGGAATCTTAAGCTTGGCTTTAAATTATGTCCTTGTATTTAGGAAGATATTGACTAGACGTTTTCTGCACAATTAATTTTTGTCCATTTATCGCTGATCAAATTCGTGTCTGAGCGCTCAAACAGTTAGCATATTTATGAGGTCAAACATGATGTATTATGATATGCGTTGCATGCGCAGAAATGCAATGCGACTCTACCGTTAACAAGGTATTGGCATTTGTAAAGAAGAAAATACGCTGCAAAATTTCACTGAACAAACAGGAATAGTTGTGTTAACGGGGAAGTGAAAATTAACTGCTTTAAAAATTTAAATTACTGCTAACGGATGTGCCCCTTAAGTAAGTAGGAGTAGGACTAAAGTGTATAAATTCGAAAGGCAAAATGTCTCAGTGTTATTACGATAGCGGAAAATTAGACGAGCTTTAAAACGGTTTTGCGGAAATTATGCTAGGTGATTTAAGTAGTCAGAATGCCTCAATTTTGCCTTGCCAAAAAATGTTTTGATTATAGACATGAAAAGGGTGGAAAGCTCTAACCGTTTGTATTAATCTTAACACAAAGACAGTTTCTTCACGTTACTCTGTTACACATGGTGAAGGTTTTCGAGTATGAAGTGAAAGAGAGTTAATGTTTCATGAATTGAAAGAAAAAGTTTCTCACTGTGCTGACTCACAAAAACGAACTTGCACACTACTGAATGAAGTCTATTTTGTCGCTTGTGGGCTTAGCGTGACGGAACTGTCAGCGCTGAGGGAGATAAGCTACTCATTTTTAGATTAATTAAATTCAATATATGTAGTTTGTACAACGGGAGTTGAACAACGAACCGTTCTTTGAGTTTGCGTAAAATCACCTTACTGTCGTCATCGACCAACAACTGAGTAAACGACAGCATCGAACGGCCAGCATGGCATGTCAGAGAACAAGGTGATATTTCATAAGGCCTGTGAAGTTTTCGCTGAAAGACTCGAGTTATGTTAAAGTGGGAGGGGAGTACAAAAACTCAAACAATAGTGATCGAGGTAAAATAGTCGAAAAATGAAATTCTCGTACCGCAGAAACAAGAATGTGGGAGAGGTCGAACGATGAATAGGTTTGGCAAGTGCAGTGATTCGTGAACTGCACTGGGCCATCATAACAAAAGCAGAGCTCAGTGTTCAAGCAGCTCATTGAGTATGAATTAGTCATTATTTGCACTTCCTCTTATGGTTATGAAACTTGAATAGTGACTGAAAAATGAGATGGCGGGTGCAAGCGGACGAGATTGGATTTCTGAAATCCATGATTCGATAATCCATTTAGATGGAACCGCTATTTTTCAAGACTGAAAAGTCATAATTTCGAATAGTTCAGCCGTTACTCCCAAATGTCAGGAAGGAGTCAAAGGCAACTGCTCTCTTCTCGGCCGCCCGACAAAAAATCTCGAAAAAGGCCTAGCTAGACAGACTTGGTACAAGTGCATCAAGCATTGACTTCCAAACTTTCCACCTGAGGTCAATTCCATGGCGTCAACAATTGTGAGCGTTGTACTCTTTCGAATTCTGATACAAATTTTGTAGCTAGACTTTGAGACTGCTAATAGAGAAAAACTCTTAGAAGTTTCCTTGAGGATCGAATTACAGATCAAAGTTTTGAATTAGGCCTCATCAACTAACTCTTGTTCTTTCCCTCTGAGTGAGGGTATATTCCAATTTCCGACTTTAAGCTCCCACTGGTGGTGTCGTTCTCGTGGACCTTTTTCTGACGTGCTGTAATGGCATCGCGCTGTCTGCCTCCTCCGTTCAGAACGGGTAGCGACTCCGCTGC